GCGGGCGCCGCGCGCCAGCAGGGCACCAGCCGCGCCGGCAGGTCGCAGGGCGACGCCACGGAGCAGGAGAGCGCGCCGCCGGCCGCGTGCAGCAGCAGCCGGCTCTGCGCCCACAGGCGCTGCCAGGCCGCGGCGTCTGCGGGGAGCGGGCGGTCGGTGCGGCCCCAGGGCACCGCGCCGTGCCGACCCGCCGCGCCGGGCACCTACCGCGGGAGAAGGGGCAGGAGGTGGCGCGCGGCGGGTCCGGCGCATCCAGCCACACCTGCGGAGCAGAGGGCACTGCGGGAGGGCTCGGGCGCCCGCGCGGCACCGTCCCCGCGCGCCGCGGCGGCACCGGTGCCCACCTGCAGGCACAGGCAGGGCAGCACCTCGTCCGCAGGCAGGCTGTAGTTCAGGGTGCCGCTCTGCAGCGGGAAGGGGACGCGGGGGTCACCCCGTGGCACGGCGCACCGGGCCGGCGCGGGGCCGGCGGGCACTCACCGCCGTGACCGTGCGCCCGGAGCTGCCGGCGCCGCGGCTGCGGTTGTGGTAGAGCCGCAGCGTGTAGTTGTGCCCGGCCGCCGCCTCCTGCACCTGCACCACGGCCGCCTGCGGCCCGCGCAGCACCTGCAGCCGCGGCGCTGTGCCACGACGATGGGCACGGGGGGTCAGCGCCTGCGTCCCCCAGCGCTGGCGTCCCGGCTGTGCCAGAGCCCGGCGCGCGGGACACGGGCTCCTACCTTGGCAGTGCGGCAGGGCGCGGGCCGCGGGCCGGGAGCAGTCTGTGGGGACAGCGCGGTGAGCGGGCAGTGCCGGTGGCGTTGCGGGTGGCGCGCGGTGCCCGGCGCCGTGCCGCGCGGCTCCGAGCGCGGCGCCTCCAAGCACTCGCGCGTCGGCTGGCCCTGCGGGAGAACCGCGGTGCGGCCGCTGCGGGCACGGCGGAGCCGACTGCCCCGTGTCCCCACATGGGGCTGCAGCACCGCGGGGCGTCGCAGCTCCCGCGTGGCACCACCCCATGCAGGCTGCATTGGGCACCCAGGGCTGGAGCATCATGTTGCACAGCAGGACCCGGACCCTGTGCCCATGTCCCCATGCGAGGGCGCAGCGGGATGCGTGGGGCTGTGCAGGTGAAGGCAGAGCGGGACCCGAGCGGGACCCGGACCCTGTGCCCGTGTTCCCATGTGTGGGTGCAGCGGGATGCGTGGGACCATGCAGGTGAAGGCAGAGCGGGACCCCAGCGTGCGCACATGCATTGCCCCCATCCCGGGTGCCCCCCGTGCCACCCGGCCGGGTGCCCCACACTGCCAACACCCCCGGGATGTGGGGACCCGCGGGGCGCCGAGCGGCTACGCACCACGATGCCGCCGGGGCGCGCGGCGGGCGGCAGCGCCCGCACCAACACGGCGACACAGCGGGACGCGGCCCGGCCCCGGGGGGCTGCCCAGCGCATGGCTGTCTGCGGGGCACGGGCGCCGTGGGGCGCGCGGCTCCCCGGCGCAGTGGGGTGCATTCGGGGGCCCGTGGGGTGCCCGGCACTTACCGAGCAGGCGGCAGGCGAGGCCCTGGGGAGCAAGCAGGGGTCAGGGCTGCCCCACAGAGCCCCCCGTGCTGCCCCACGTGCCCGGACCCACCTGGGGGCAGGCGAGGGCGTCGCGGGGGGCGCAGCGCCCGCCGGGCACCAGCGCCAGCAGCGCCAGCAGCGCCAGGCCCGGCGGCCCCATGGCGGGGACCTGGCGCCCCACGGCCCCCTGCCCCACGGCGCCCTCCCCTCCCACGGCCCCGCCGCGGCCGCCGGCGGCTCCCGCTTCCTGCTCCGCTCCCGGACACCTGGATCCCAGCACGGCGCCGCGACCGCCCCGGGGTGGGGCCTTCCCGGACGGGCCGGGATGGGAAAGGGAAAGGGAAAGGCAGCCAGGAGGGATCCGCGCCCGCCGCCCCGCGGCTGCACGCGGCGCCCGGGCTGCCCACATGGCTGCAGGACCCAGCAGCTGCTCCGGCCAGCCCCAGAGCAGTGCGGCGTGGGGCTGGCCAGCCCCATAACTGAGTGCAGCCGGCCCCATGGCCTGGCACGGGGCCAGCTGGGGCCCATAGCGCAGCATGCGGCTCAGGCCTGCCCCACAGCAGCACGGCATGGGGCTAGGGCTGCCCCATAGCACGGCACGGTGCAGCTGGGGCTGCAGGAGTGTGGCTGTGGGGTGCAAAGGAGAGGCTCCCGCCCCACGGACTCTATGGGGCTGGGGCAGCCCCCGGGTGCAGGCAGCAGCCCCCAGGACCCTCCTCACCGCGTCCCAGGCCCCCCCGAGTCGCGGCACAGCGGCTGCAGCCAGGGTCTTTATTCTGCTCCAAGTCCCAAAGCACCAGGGGCCAAGCGGAGCCAGCAGCCGGCCCCGGCGCCTCCTGCGCGCCGCCCGGCCCCACTGCGGCCCCCGGGAGGCCCCTCTCTCCCCCACGCCGGCGTGGGGGGCGTGGAGCCACCTCCACCCTGCGCCGGGCCCCGACAGGCCCCGCCATGCCCGGGCCCCTCCGTGGGGCTGTGTCCATGCCAGGCCCTGCACCCGTGGCCTCGTCCCTCGCTGCTCCATGTCCTTGTCCCGGCAGTGGGGACGTCAGCGGCTCCTCCAGCGCCGTGAGCCGTCCCTGGGGTCCCCGCAGCCTTTCCCGCGGGCTCCGTCCCGGTGCATCCTCCGTGCGCAGCCCCTCACCGGGGCATCAGGGCGGCGCCGGCCCCGGCGCTCCCGCAGCCGTGCCCAGCGCTGACCAGGGCGCTCAGGTGCCGGCAGCCACCTGCGCACCGGGCGCCGACACCGGGGCGCTGCACGGGGACGCCTCGGGGGGCTGCGCGGGGGGCTCCTGTCCCGCCTCGGCCTCCAGCAGCCGGCGCAGGAGGGTCCTGGCGCGGCCGCGGAGGCGCCGCGGGGGCCGCGC